TTTTATTGTTAAACCCAACTAAAAAAATACATATATTTGGAAATAATCTTAAAAAGAAGAAAAAACGATGAAGTAATACACTAATGATTATTTCCAAAATGATGGTAAGGTAAACAACTTTCAAAAAAGAAAGAAAAATCCTAAAATCTTATGAGAAAAAAAAACATTTCTTAAAAAAATTGGCGGGAAAATTTATCGAATTTCGTTCCGGTTTTTTGGTTTTCTGATTTCCGAATAACGGGTTCTGTACTGTACTAATTGTATTTTATTCAAATAATTATATATTACATCTAAAATAAAAATTTATATATTTAATTAATTTTTAGTTGAGAAATCAAATGCTTGATGCTTTGGACGGTTCAAAATAGTAAGTTTAACATTTCAGAGCAATTATTTTTTTTCTTCATACTTTATCCCTTTCTAGGAGAAAAATCTGTTCCTTGAACAAGTTTAGCAGCAAATTTAACAAAACATACTGAAAAAATTATTATGGACCCATTTGAGACGTGTTTCAAATGAATTGGAGTAGATTTAGAATGTATTTATGAAAAACACATTAGGCTGTTCCATTGCACAATGTTCCATCTTTATTCAAAAGGAACAAAAAAAGTTTTAAAAAAGCTAAATATCGAAACACAAAGAAATAAACATTTACTGCAAACAAATCATTTGAAAAAGCATACAAAAACTAAAAGTTAAACACGTACAAAAACTTAATTATATTAAAAATCTGACAGTTCAAGTTTAAAGCCCTCAAACTGTAGCTAATTGACTTTAAGATATTCAAGCTATTTGTTCATTCTAAGTCCAAACAACTCTTTTCAGAGAGATAGTACAGTTTTGCCTACAACAGCTTTGTTTTGAGTTTAGAGCATTAAAACTCTTTCTTTTTTAAAATATTCAAGCTATTTGTTCATTTTTATTTAAGAATTCCAAACAACTCTTTTTAAGTTCAGCACATTAAAGCCTTGCTATGAGTTTAAAGCACCTAAATCATGGTTAATTTATTTTAAAAAATATCCAAGCTATTTGTTAATTTTTGGTGCAAAAACCTTTTTTCAGAATAATGGTATAGTTCAGAGCATGCTTTGAGTTTAGAGCACTCAAACTGGGTTATATTTCTTTAAATTATAAAAGCTATTTCATCATTTTTAGTCCAGACAACTCTTTTCAAAAATATAATATACTTCAAAATTAAGTTTTTCTTTGAGTTTAAGCTACTCAAACATCAGTTTATTTATTTTCCATGAGGAAACAGCTTAAATTTTTTTTTAAAAAAATACCTTTATTTCATTAAAATTGATTTTTTTGTTTTTGTTTTGAAAAAATGTATATATGATACATCTCTGCAGTAAATTGAATATTAACTTACTTCGTCTTTTGATAAAAGAAATTCAGGAGGTGGATTGTAAGACTCCTCATGACCTGGAAGTTTTCGCTTAGGTGCAGGAATGTAATGACGCATTCTTTTGGATTCTTCAGCCTAAAACATGATTAAGGATATTTGAAAATTATTCAATTTAATGTAAAATTATTAAACACAATAAGTATGTTAGGACTTTAAGAACATAATTTATCGAGGCAAGATGAAGAAAACAAGAGCATCAGTATTGCATACATCGAAAACATGAAATTTGATTTTTTTTTTAAAGAACAGAGCAAGACTGGCATTTGGTTTTGAACATTGAAATTTGTTTTGGGTGTATTTGAAATACAGCTTAATAAATGAATATATTTTCTTAAAAAAATAATTCACTATTATGTTTTACAAATGCATTGAATCACATTTTAATTTCGGCCATTAGTATTTCAGTGAGCTAAGCCTCAAGACCTGGTTTCTAAGGAAACGTCGGCGTCAGCTTGAAACGAACATTTACCTCTGATTGGTCAATTTATGAGTTTGACAGCACACGTCATCGAACGCTCAGCTTGAATGACAACTGCCGTCCAAATCAACTGCAGTTGGATTACAACGTGACGCTAACAACAGAAGCAATGGTGGACAACAGCCAACAACAGAGCATTGAAATCAGCCAAGATTTTAATTTTAACATTAAACGTAGCTTCTTTTTCCTCTTCTTCATTTAGCTAAGCTATAATGTGTTTTTTCTTGGACAAAGTCATTATTTGTTCTTTAAAGCACTGGTCGACAATCACAAAATCAATACTAATTCAAAATAAATATTTGTTTACGTTATTAACGCATGCGCAATGCGAGATAATGTTTGTGTTGGACTGGCTGCTCACGCTGAGCTAACAAAACGGTATTTTTACGGAGTCAAAATTGTATCAACTTAACGCTGACGCCCAGTTAAGACACTTCTCTTAAAAAACCAGGCCTTGAGCTAACAAACGAGTATTTTGTTGGCATCAGGGTAACGTCAACTTAACGCTGACGCCCAGATAAGGCGCTTGTCCTAAGAAACCAGGCCTTTAGACTGCTATGATGTTGCTGAAAAAGTGTTTGTTGAAAAGTCCTTCACTAGTTAGAAAAGATGGACTTCAGAGTGATTGGAGTAAAGAACTGGCAGACTAGTCTAGAAATAGGCTGTCCAGGAGGAATTTTCAACACAAGGATGTGGCTCACCCTAGGCTGCCATGTCAAATAAGATAGATAAATATTCTTAGATGAGTCAAATTAATTTAACAAATTTAAATGTGCTTCAAAATGCTTGCCAAGCAACAAGACAGAGCTCATTCTAGGCAGGGAAACAGGGCGCAGCACCCTGCTGCCCTTTTTGTCAAAAGAATCCACCCTGTTGCCCCTGAAGTAAATTAGTACCCTGATGTAATAGTACCCTTTTTGCCCTTTCTTTTCTCAACCCTTCTTCATTTTCAACTCTTTTTATTTAGTTTGTCATTGCTGTCAATACATAGATTTATATGGGAAAGGAAAAATAGCCATCACACCCCCTTGTAGTACTTGTCTTTGAAAGTTTGCAGTTACTTCACTATCATTAAATCATAATTATTATTAATCATTTTAATTATTAAATCATAACTACAGCCACTTAAAAATATACATTTATTATTTTATTAATATACACATGCATTTTAAATAAATTATTAAGCTAATTAGCTCATTAACTCGATATATTATATATATACATATATATACAATGGAGCATCGTTTATACGACGCCGAAGGGACCACCGAAAAACGTCGCATAAACGATAACGTCGTATAATAGATTTTTACTTCTAAAACTGAAACTAACTCTGTTTTCAGTTAATTTTAATGTTTAACGTGTTGATTTACATAAATTTCTAAATTAGACAAAGCAAAACAAACAAATAACCAAAGAAGAAAAATTGCAGTGAGCAATTTGAATGTATGTTACCTTTAATTATATTTTCTTGCTATTAGTTTCTACAATGCTTTGAATAGCGAGTTGAACTTACTGCTCTCTATGATGCAATTCTAGATTTCTAATCACGGCCAAATCTAATGGCTGAAGCGCACTTGTGCAATTTGCAGGAAAAAAGAGAGCTTTTACATTTTCCAAAATAATTAGTATCGATGGGTCTAGTTTAATTAGTATCGACATAGTCTAGTTTTTTTCAGTCATCTAGTAAAAATTACGGTCGTCATCCAAGCATTCCTGTTGGCAAATTCCGCCCTTTTTTAAAATACACAAGAAAAAATAAAAAACTTAAATAAACGTGAACAAAATCTAAAAACCGACGTATAACCGATTCTGTGCGTCGTATAATCGATATATTTTTACATTAAAATGAATAGGAATGATTTGGGACCACACTAAAACGTCGTATAAATGTAAACGTCGTATAAATGTAAACGTCGTATAAGTGATCGTCTTATAAACGATGCTCCACTGTATATATGTGTGTGTGTGTGTTAAATTATTAATAAAGATTAGTGATTAATATGATTGCTTTGGTACTTTTAGTAAAGTAAAAAAAAAAAAAGGAATTCTAATAAAATGTGTAAAACCCATAGAAAGAAATTATTGCCTTTTTAGATCATTAATGCCCTTTTTTTTAATCTTTTGCACCCTGCCCTTTTTTCTGCCTAGAATGAACTCTGCAACAAGAGATTACACTCTTGAACTTTACTTAAAACACAATTTCTTTTTCAGAAAATGAAAGAAGCTGAAGTTTTATTTTATGCAAAATAATTGCAATCAAAAATTCATTTCTCACACATAAAACATTTTAAACTTTACTTCATGCAACATTAAGTGTCAAAAATATGAAATTTCCTTTACTCAATTTTATAAACAATTTTAAACTGAATAAATAATTATTTCAGTGAAATGGAGAAGGCACAATAAAAAGTTACAGAAATCATTCATGAAAAAATAAATATAAAAAAAGTAAAAAATAACAATTGAATAAAAACTCGTCATCAAGAATTGATTTGCAATAGTAAATTAGTTTTAAACTAATTTTTAATTACCTGAAATAATACTGGTCAATAAAGATTCTGAAGACTATGCGGAAAAAAAAAATCTAGGTAAAAAAAAAAAAAAAATGCTAAATAAGCTGATTCTTTCAGCAGAGTTATTCTTTAATTGAATGTTTACAACTTTATTTGGAGAAAAAAAGACAATTACATGCATACATATGATTTTAAATTAATTTTTCATTTATATTTTTGTTATTTTGAAACTAAATTTTAATTGGTATGAATAAGTAAAATACAATGGGAAAGGAATATTGATAAATATATTGTTTTTCATAATATGAAAGTAGGACAGCAAAATAGCAATGAAAACAATAGAAGACCATTGAAATACATAAATTTAATCAATGTTTAATCAAAATCAATGCAATGTGATTTAATAATCAATTTAATCAAAAATAAGCCCCTTTAAGCACTTACTTACTTTTTAAAAATGCTTCGCACCCTACACACATATAATTTTAAATACATTTTCCATTTATATTTTTGTTATTTTGAAACTAAATTTTCATTGCCCTGAATCAGTGTTTTCACTACAACGCGAGAATCTCGCATATTTTTTTCTTTCCTTGCATTAAAAAATTATTAACGCGAGAAATTCGCGCACCCTATTAATGAATTTCAAACTGCTTGAATATCACGAATTTTTGAAAAAATTTCGGCTTCCACCATTTCGAATGAAATCCGCTTCGTTTTTCTTCATTAATCTTTCATTATTTTCAATATCGGTCCTTGTTATCTAGCTTCCCTATTTACCAGTATTTTTCAGAACCAGAACACCCTACCCCCGAACATTTTTCTGCAACCACGTGTTCAGCGTAGGTAAGGTTTCTTCATGTAAAACGTTTAAATTTTTTGTGCCTATATGTAAGATGGACAAATACATTGTTAAGACAAATGAAACAAATGTCGGTAGAAACGGTAAAAATGAAACAAATACGGATATTCAACGGATATGGATCAAATACTAGCATGAAGTATGAACTTGGAAAGAACTTAAACGTACTTCACGATTTTATAGCAGAAATAATTTAAAAGCCTATGCTAGCTGATGTAGAGGATAGGAAAGTGTGTGCACTATGCTACAAATTTACTTAATGTTTTCGAATAATTCAGCATCTGTTGCACGGTCATTTAGCACCCAAAACCGGATTAAGACAAAATATCGTAACAGATTGATTGATAAGCATTTGAGCAACCTAATGAGAATAGCTGATGAAAAAGTAGATGTAGAACATTTTCCATATGATGATACAGCAAAAATATTTAATGCTTTAAAAATTAGAAGATGCTAAAAATGTATTATAATTAAAGAAATATTTTTTTTCCAAGTCTATTCACGTTTTTTATTTTTTTTATTTGTTTTTTATTTTTAGAAATCTCACGTAATTTTTTGAAATCTCATCCTGTTTTCGAGAAAGGGTGAGAAATTCTCATCCATTTTTTTTCTGTAATGAAAACACTGCCTGAATAAGTAAAATACAATAGGAAAGGAATATTGATAAATATATTGTGTTTCATAATATGAAAACAGGACAGCAAAACAGCAATGAAAACAATAGAAGACCATTGAAATACATAAATTTAAACAATGTGTTTAGCAAAATATTTTTCTTTAAAACCAGAAATCATAAAAACTTACAACATCCTTATCCCACAACATATAAAATTCATCTTTCTCTTCTTTGGGAACTCTAGGCTTTATCCAGCCTGCTTTTATAGCATACACCATTCTAGATACCTACATAAAAGGAAATAAAAAATTAGATAAATATTAAATGCTTGTGTAAAAAAAAGGTAAGAAAAAAATATATTACATACCTTTTCTTTCTCAATTTTGGAAGGAATGAAACTTCTCTTGTGAGGTGGCGCATTTGTAACAGGATGTTTTGCAGTCTCATAAGTAAAGAAATCTTCAAAAGGCTAAAGAGTAAAAAAGAGATAAAAAGGAAATAATTTAGAAATTTGAATTAAAATAAAACTTTAGTACAATGCATTTAGAGAACCCTTGCACATCCATAATTCTTGATAATTCAAACTCCGGTCCTAAGAAAAGCTTTTAGAAGTCGTTAGAAAAAAAAAGTTTAAATCAGAAAAAAGAAAAACAAATGCTAAGATGGTTTAGGGCGCATGAATACCATTCAAAAAGCCAGGATAATTTACATTTTTATTAAATTAATAAATTTTAAAAATTTGCTTTAATACAAGGTTTCTTGTAGGTTAAAAACACAAAGTGTTAAATTTTTTCTTCTTCATTTTATTACTTGTTGGTGACAATTATAGTTGGCATTGACAAATATTTATTAAATATGGGAATAAGAAATAAATAATAAGAGACTAAGAGAATAAATATTTCTCCATACCTCCACATATAGAAACAATTCTTAGAATTTTAAAATCGAAGTCATAAACGATTCTGGTTCAGATTTTTTCTTGAAAAGCATTTTTTTTTTTAAAAAAAACTGGTAACGTTTTGGCAAAAAACAAATAAATAAATTTTTAAAAAAATTAACATTCTATTTCAGCATATTGCAACAGTCCAATGTGGGCCAAGGGGCTCATGCAGGTAAAGGCTCTATAATTAAATGAGAATTAGCATTATTTTGGCAATATGGAGGACCGCAGGCCGGCTTTACCTAACCAAGAACCAGACAAGCTGGTACCCATTGATCTGAAGTTAGGTGGGCTTTAAGATGCAACTGGGGATCAAACCCTAGTCCTTCAAAATGACAGTTCAGTGCCCTAACCGCAGAGTCATTGCAAAGCATGACGATTCTTGCTTTTCTAAAATTACAAAAGGAAAGAGAAAAAAATTTCCCAAATAACTGATCAATTTATGGACAAATTATGTCAATCAAATATAAATGCTAACTTTAACTTTTAAATAAATAAACATTTATGAAAATTAAAAATTTTTTTATAACATAACATCTTTTTTTTAACATCTGAAATTTGAAAGAAAAAAAAATATTACAAATTAATTCAACCTTGTTAAGGGATATGATTAATTGAAAAAATAATTTTCAAACTTAACTAACTAAAAATTTATAACTACACAATATTATGCCAATCTGATTTTTTTTCTTTTATTTCACATATTTTTATTAATTTTCAAGACAGTTTGAAATTCACCTCGTACTGCTGTTCACTAGTTGGAAAGTTGCCAGACTGAATTCTTTGTATAATATCTAGATCTTCATCAGTTAACACTACCTTCTCTCCAGTCATTTTATTTTTCACTGTTCGCCTTTAAAAGAAAAAAAACGACATAAGTTAAAGCATTAACTAATTAATAGCTTCATGAGTCCATAACTGCCAACTCGGATAGGAAGAAATCCATTAGATTTTACAAAATAATATACATTTCATAATTGTTGCAAAATATACTAAATATTTTACACGTAGGGAATTTCAGGGATTTTTTATAGTGATCAAAATAGAAAAACTGCGATATTTTCCAGTTATGATTTCACATTAAATGATCTTGAAATGTTATGTATTATGTTTATTCATAATTTTGAATAGTAACAGGTATTTAATTCATCAGATAGTTAACTGAATTCTATAAAAGAGGTTCGCTTTATTATATATTAATACTTATTTAAATATTGAAGCAAGCAATAATCCACACAAAAATTCTAGTTCAATAGGTATTTTTCAAGGAAACTTGCTCAATTTTAGGGAATTTCTTAATAATATACAGAAACCAGGAGAGTTTTTATGAAACCAGTAGACCAGGAGAAATTGACAAAATCCAATAATCTACTGGAAAATCTTGTAGAGTTGTCAGCTATGTAAGTATATTCGATGCATTGCGCAGGTACAATGTGCAGCAAAAAAGCCTGGACAAACAATTTTTGAAAAAATTTATTAAAAATAAATATACTATCAAGAGTAACAATTCAACAAATAGAGTAATTGAAAATTTCTTAATTTATTTTAAAATACCGTCAAACCCCGCTATAGTGAACATGGTTTATAGTGAACTCCCGGATATAGTGAACGAAATGTTCGGTCCCGTGCCTTGCTATACACGTATAATGTTATTTTTTGTGGATATAGTGAACCAAAAAAGTGAGGAAGTTGGATATAATGAACTTTTTTCTGTCTGCAAATGATTTTTTTCTTCATTTTTTTGGAATAATTTTGAAATTTCTACTTCAAAATAAATACATATACCAATGTTTAAAACCATCTGTAGAGTGGAATGTAGCGATAAGCATTTTTTCTTGTTCGCTTCTTTTATTTCACTTTCCAATCCCTAAACAAACCCTGGCAGATGATGCACCTGTAAGGTGTCAGTTGGATCAATATGCATTTTCTGTCAGAGGGAATGAGTATAAATACTCATTATTGGTCAAAGGGTTAGACACTAATATGTGTTGATAAGGACCTCATTTCAACTTTTTCCCCTCAGTTCAGTTAAAAAGAAGTCTGAAAACAAGTGTCTCAAATTTGACTAAGGCGACCAGTAAACGTAAAACGTTCTCCATTGATGATAAAATGGGCATAATCTGAAAAATTGAAAATGGATGCAATCAAGTTGATATTTGCAGGGAATATAAACTATTCAATTCTGCAGTTTGTAACATACGGAAAAATAGGTAATTAATAATTTCTGCCCATGAAAAAAATTTAGATAGCATAAAAAAGTTGAGAAAAGCAGATCACAAGGATGTTGAAGAAGCATTACTGAAGTGGTTCACCATTAAAAGAAGCTGCAATATTCCAATATCTAGAGTCTAGACAAATGTCGAATTTTCTAAGCGATTTTATGAAACTACTTTTATGTTCTTGAATGGCTAGTTAGACAGGTTTAAAAAGCGGAATAACATAAATTCAGGAAAAATTATTTGAGAGTCGGGAAGTGTTTCCATATCTGATGTTGAGGATTGCTCATCAGCTAAATATTACTAAATTTTTTTTACACACAAGACGAAGAGTAATGAAAAATAACACATTTTTTGCTACTACGTAATATTTTTCAGTCATTTATTTGAATAATGTGCTATAAAAGGGAGGATTTACGGAACCATTGGTTAAATTGCCTGCTTAACGGATATAGTGAACTCCCGGTTATAGTGAACCAAAATTTCAGTCCCTTAAAGGTTCACTATAGCGGGGTTTGACTGTAGTAAGTCATTAACAATAAAATTACATAAAAATTAAATGAATGATTTGAAAAACTTCAACTGGTAGTACCCGTCTTCAAACTCTATCAATTAATAGATTTACTATTCACTATCGTAAAATGAAATGATCTAACTAAAATGTTCAATACATCTGAGGGATAATAAATCTAATTGGTCAATATTAGGATTCGAGCATTTTTTATCATCGTCATTTATTTTGCTGCTATTATGAAGTTTAAAACTGTGTGGTATATTTTCTCTTTTTACACAATCTATGAACATTTTAGAGATTTCATCGTGTTGATTTTTTTCAAATGAACAACATAACAAAACTTTCAAAATATACAAAGTCATTTAATTTTTAAATGTATCAAATGAATAATTAATTAAAAACTATTTTCACAGTTTAATTTTTAAATAAAATAAATAACTTAATTGCTAATAGGCACCAAATGAATGCTCCAAAAAAGAACTAAATGATAGTGGCACCTCATTTCTTTTAATTTCAATTCAACTAAACAGTAAATACACAACAGTTTCCACTATCTGGTTGAATGTAGTGGATATACTGGGTAACAAAATAGAGGAATAGGACGAAGATCCACTTCCTACCCATTCTTCCACAGATCCTTGTGTACAATATACTGTATATCCTTGTACGGCATTTTGATGTTGTATACAAGTCGGACCATTGTATAAGACAGCCCTCTATTTTTAATAATGAGATAGCAAACCTCCAGTATTTGGGGTGTATAAGATGACCAATAAGAATTCATTGCAGAGGGGGATATGTATGACGACATTGCTGATGGTCTGGAAACTAAATTTATAGCTTTATGATAAGTTTTAAAATTTTTAATTGTGTTTTATTTATTGAAATACTCTCGAATCAATCATCTTAACTTTTGTTATTCCAAATTTTTTTCTAAATGTAACTTAAAAGTATTGTTTAATAAAAGAAAAATTATATGTAAAGAAAATATGAAAGGTGAAAAATTAATTGCATATATCATGGTTAAAATAGTTATCAAAAGGGATAAATTGATATAGAGTTCACATCTATCTCATTACTTATAATGAATCGATACATCACAATGAATCAATCAGCTTTAGAACCAGAGAATAAGTTGACCCCTTTAGTAAAATTTTGGGGGATTACTAGACTTATACACCATGATATATGGTAATTAAAAATATATTTCAAGATAAACAATTGATGCAAAACTACTTAAAGTGTATTAGTAAACTAAATGGGAAGTTTTATGACTAGGAGAAGTAAAAATATACAAATGACCGCTTTAACATTCCTCATTTTTTGCTTTCGCCGCCTACCATGGTGAGTATTACAGATGCTCGGTTTTCATATTCCTAATTATTTACTATACCCAATAGTACAAAAGCAAGGTAGTCATAACCTGTATAATCTGTATTTTGATTTGAAAGAAAGTCAAGATCATCCTAATTTCTAATAAATGAACATTTAACAAAATTTAAAACAATTTACCAATAATTAGGATCATCAATTTTACTGAGAAATTCATCAATTTCATCTGTTGTTGCAGGTTTCATAATTTTTTTCCCATCAATATCGTAACCAATATGAGGGAAATCATCATACCACTTCATAGGAATGTTGCCAACAGTATTGCGAATATCCTGGAAAAGGAAACAAAATTAGAATAACTTTAGCGTACTTAATATATTGAGATAAGTCAATAATATATTAATAACTTTCTGAATATTTGCACCAGAATTCTTTACTGTTTCACATGACTGATACTTTCTATAACAAAAGATAGTTTTTTTTTTACCTAGGGCACAAACCCTTGATAAAGCAAACTTGTCCAGGACATTAATACTCTCACTAACAAATGATAAATAAAAAGTAACTTTTTTTGGTAAGTTATTAAATGAGCTCTTATTTTTGACAGTGGAATAAGTCCATCTGAAACTAAAAAGTCCTTTACTTATTTATAATTATTTTATTTTACGATTTTAATAATCATTGCTGCATTGATGTTTCATCAAATAATAGTATTAAAAACATCACCCAAATAGATAAACCTTTGCCAACATTTCTAAAAAACAGTAACCCTTAAATGCTTTTAAAATGGAAAATATAAAAAACAGACTTATTCCACTTTCAAAAGCAACCTCACAAATGATTACATAAAATTTATATTAGAATGATTTGTTTCTGTACTTTTTAAATTCTCTGGAATAGGTATTTTTCTTATAAACAAACATTTTTTCACAGTATAACTATTTTTTTTTTTAATTATTGTAAAATAATTTCATACATAATGCTTTAATTATAGTAGCAAAGATATTTATTAATTTAAAAAACACAAATATTAATAATATTTAATCAGCTTTTATTGGATTAAGTTCCTAAATAGATCATTTAATTTCAGAAACATAATGCATTATCTGATCTGATAAACAAAGTACTTTAGTTAAGCAAGATTTTAGTTCTAAAAATATACAGATGACGAACCCAGTACTAACAATAATAAACCTTCCAATATACAAAGAAATTAATTAAATTTTCAGAATGTATTTATTTCTCTTGATATTTAAAATGCAAAGTAAAAATAGGCTTTCCATTCTAGAATATTCGCTTCATGCTGAATGAGGCCTTCTCTTGAAAAGGTATTTTTTATTCTAAATTTAATCTAAATTTTTTTAAGTCAAAAACTATGTAGACTAAATTTAGAAAATTCAAAACACTGCAATATTATAAATGGGTTGTCATATTTGAATTTTTATTGTTTATTTGCTACAGATAGATGTAATTATTGATTTTTTTTTTTTTAAAGAAGACATTTTTCTTTTAATCCTTAAATCATACATAATAGTAAAATCAGAAAAACATAAGTAAAAAAAAAATTATATCTATAAAATAAATATAGCACTTAAAATTTGGTATGTTAGCATAAAGCTCTAAAGCTATTTGTTAAAAGAGAGAGAACTGAAATAGGAAACTATGATATCGGTAATCTTTTTACCCTAATATTACAATTAGTTTCATAATGCCCCTGTGGCATAATTTTTTCGGGCTTTCTTCGACATACTACACTAATTCTAATACCTTTCTGCAAGATACTTTTAAAAATAACAAATATACATGTCACTTATTTAAAGTAACAGAAGCGTCAACTTTAAAGAAGAAAAAAAACTTTTTCTAAACTGAATATGTAATATTTTTTTATTTTAATATTATGTCAATATTCCTGCATTTCCTAGGAGGGAAAGGCAATAATTATTCTTTTTTTCATCTTTTGTATATCTTCATCACATTAAAAAAAAATCGTGAAATCCATAGCAGTAACTACCGAGAAAAAAAAAGATTGACAGCAAAATCACGCAAATCGCATTTTTAAAAAGGGGTTACTAAATGCATGTTTTAATTTTGAGATTCAGTTGTTGTAATAAATAATACAGTATTAAAAATATTTGATTTTAAAAGCTATGTGGAAATCAATAGTAATAATTGCATAAAAAAAAATAGAACGAAAATTTCAGCACAAAAGAAAATCACAGCTTTTTTAACTTCATTACTCTTATTTTTCATCATTCTCAAATGAGAACAGAAAAATCACAAGCATTTTTTTTCCTCCAATGCACGAAGCATCTTTTGAATATAATTCTGAAGAGCAGAAAAAAATCTTTCAAAAATTTCTGCAGAAAAGAAAACCAAAATTTTTTTACTTCCCAAAGGAAAAATCTTTCTACAAGAACTCGTAAACAATGAGTACTACTGAGCAATTATAAAAACAATGTAAGCACTTCACATTAGATTTTGAGATAAGCAGGTTAACAAATATTTTCTTTCCTTTGCCAATGCTATCAACGCTAAAAAAAAATTTCGGAAAATTCATTTAAAAAAATAGATTTTTGATTTTAAAAAATTTGCAATAGATGGCTTATCATACAAAAATGCCAAAAATATAAAAATCTTAATTTTGATTTTTTTTTGTCTCTTACATAGATTTTTCTATTGGAAGGTATAGTACAGAAACCAATTTATACTGATACTTAGTAAAGCAAAATTAAGAAAATTATGTGGGTTAATTATAGTTTACGATCACTAAACATTTAACTTTATTCATTTAAAAAAAAAAAACTTCCTACTAATGTAATGGAAAAATTACACAGCGGTTAATCTAAGCTGTTTCTCAAGGTCTTGTTTTTAATAAGTTAGGAATATTAAAATTAATAAATAATGTCGTCAAAACTTAATAACTTGTTTTCGTAAATTATAGATATTATAATGGGTACAATTTTATGCAAAATTACATTATCAGAAAATATAACTTTTAAAAACAGAAAAATAAATAATAAAGCAACTACTTATATAGTGAGTAAAGTTAAATTTTTCTAATTCACTAAGAATTTCAATGCTTTAAAAATGCACCTATCTTTTCAGTTCTATAAATGAAAAATAAAATAATTAAATATTCATTTTAAAAAATAGGTTTTGTGAAACAATCATTAGGATTTTGAGATTTGAGTATTTTTCGAGATTTTTACTTACGTGAAAAATCCTCGTATAAAGCTTTAATTTTTACAAACAGGGTGTTTTTTATCAAAGTATTTTTGTGAAAGATACCTAATAGGTCCTATTTTTTGCTTAGAATTTGACCTTGTTACACCAAGGACATTTTAATACAAACACTGCATTTCAAAATTATTTTTTGATATTAAAAAAAATGAATAAGACTAACTATAAAATTGATATTTTTTAAAACTAATATTAATAAATTTAAAAAAGATTTATTAAAAATAGCTAAAAATATTTATAAATTATTACTTCTTCATCTGATGTATCATGAGCATATTCATCCTCTAGATCTTCTTTACTGGTACTTTCCAATGATGATGAATCATTTTTAGCAGATCTCTTTTGATCGAGCATAGGCTTATTTGACTGAAAAGTAAAATTTATTTATTCAAAGTTCATTTTCCTTAAATTAGATAAAACGCCTCTACAAACAAGTAACAGAATTAAGCTAAGTCTACCTTAAATGACAGGTTGAAGAAAGATAAATCAACAAAAAGTTAAATCAGGGTGCGTAGCCAAATCTTTGAATCAAAAATAAGCACTTTTTAAAAACTTTTCAAGCACTTTACAAAAATTTTCAAGCACTCAAAAATTTCATATTGAATCAAGGATATTATTGAAAAACAAAACCTTTTTATGAACAGTTTTAGCATTAAAAAAAAAACACAAAAAGAAACAGACGTAAATCGAAATAATCAGTACTTTCCCACATCACCGAGTGAATTCAACTTGACTCTGCACTCTGAACAAAAGTATCCTTACCCCCTACATCAAAAAAGTGTTAGAAGTAAAATAAAATAAACAAGAATAAAATTGTAAATTAAAAAGAAAAACATTTAATAAGGATCTGACTCCATCCGAATTGGGAGCACTCGAGTTTCAGTTTGGAGTGTGCGCGCATGCGCAAGTCATGACGTGGGTGCGACATGAAGTCCATGTGAATGATTACGTAGCAAACACCCCATTTTTTGTGAAATGCAGGGGATCCACCAGATATCACTGAAGGGAAAAAAATTATTCGTGAAAAAAAAGCACTTTTTAAAAACGCCAGCTGAAAAAAGCACCTTTAAAAGCTTTTAAAAACGAAATCTCCCAAAAAGCACCTTTAAGTACTTTTTACAAACACTACGCACCCTGTAAATTATATTAATTATTACTTCTTCATCAGACGAGTCATTAGCATGTTCATCTTCCAGATCCTTTTCACCGGACTCTTCTTTATGAAACTTTGAGTTATTTTCCTGAAAAATGAAATTCATTTATTTGAATTATTTAATTAAAGAAAATAAGTAACTATGAAAACAATAAATATGAATCAACATTGAAAAAAGGACAATTTCAAAAAATCAAAGAGTTGATATTCAAAAAAGGTGTGTAATTTGTTAACTATTGGTCTTGAATACTCAGTAGCCGGAAAAACCAGTATTCTGTAGTTGGCACTTAAATTTTTTCATAAATTTTCATCAGAAGAGCAACAATTAAGATTAATAAATATAAAAACTATCAATATTGTGAAAGAAACCCTGAGGAATTAATTTAAACTCATTATCATTTAATTAGGCCAATTTGACTATTATCATTTAACTATTATTGTCAACCATGAGTAAGTTAATTTCCAGGATAAAATTAGGGAGGAGAGTGGTAAAAGAACAAAAAGTCTGAAAATACTTATCCACTTATATCATGAAAATATAAATAAAAAAGGGGTGAAATTATCTTACACAGATTTAAAATTACATACTCATATATTTTTTTTTAATATAGGTATACATTGACAGGTAAACAAATTTTTAACCTTTATACACAAATTATAATTAGATAAAATGATAAAATACAACAACAAAATGTAGAAATTTTAAGAAAAAATAGATATTCAATACAACAATTAACAATATTCAATATAACAGATAACGAATTGTGATCTGTTGCTCCTACTATTGGGTTGATGCATAAGTTCCCGCATTTTTTTTTCTCAATTTAAAAAATTTTCGTAGAAAATAAAATTTTTTGGCATAATCTTTTGTGTTATTCGAAAGAGAATTTTCTGCTCTATAAAATAGTGTATTACACCTCTTTGTTACTTTTTGGAGCATTTAAATGGAGTGTCAAGTCGACAAAAACGAGCATTTCCAACACCACCTTCTTTTGGCATTTAATTGACATGCCAAATCCACAGAAGCTGCAAAGGAGATTTGTGCCATGCAATTTCAAATGCTTTACGCGGCAGTTCGTTCAATAATGACATCAAATTACGAGCTTGGTTGGAAGACTTTTTCAAGACGCTTCCGGGTGATTTCTACCAAAGAGGCATGGAAAAAATCTATAACGTTGGGAGGAAGTCGTAAACAACAACGGAGAGTACATTAATGATTGAATTGTGGTTATTTTAAGTCAAAAATTCAATTTATAAAAAAAAAATTGAAAAAACGTGGGAACTTATGCATCAACCCAATACAATCGTTGAGGTGCCAAATAGATTGTAAACTTGCAAATTTATTTAAAATAACATGTAGATATTTGCCCGGGGGTGGTTACGAGCTATACATTTCAAGTTAATCCCTTTCTGTTACATTCTTTTCAGTTTCTTGCGGGCCGCTGCCTGGAAGTTGCCAAGACTTGGCGATTATTCTACCGCAGATTAGGATACAAAATCTCCCCTTAAAGTTAGCACAACAGATTAAAATACGAAATATTCTCATCCTAGCTTGGATATTAGTTATATCCATCAAGGTGATCCCCAGTGATGATTTTGTTTTCCTTATGAACTGCTGCTCAGAAGTTACCAAGACTTGGCGATATTCTGCTGCAGACCAAGATATGGAAATCTCTTCCAAGAAATAAAATTGTGGGAAGTAACTGTCATATAAAAATTGTATCTGTAACACTATAATACACTGCAGTACTACTCTATAATATACAGTACTGGTTAAATATACAGCCTATATTTAGAATTATATTTATATAATCAGCTAGTAAGCTGTAACTATATGCTGATTAAATATGCTGAGTAGATGCAAACAACTATCGAACTTCATGATAGACACATAAATAAAAGTTATTTTTCCATTAACTCACATCTGAATCGGAAAATGATTCGTCAGATTCTTCATCTTCTTCCTCCAAATCAGAATACTCGCTAGACTCACTATCTGAATCAGCATTCTCAATATCTTTTCTTACCAATGGTTCTTTCTTATTCTGCATTTTTACGGATAGAATATTTATCTATGAATCAAAGGAAATCGTACACTCGATAGTTTGATCCTTATATATAGTGGATAAATTACGCAGTTAAAGATTGAAAGATATATTTCTTAAATAATAATTATTCATAGAATATTATATTTTAGAATCCTTAAAAAGATTATACTGGAAAAGAATAATACACATCGAAATTTTATTGGCTTCAACAGTCCGGCATGGTTTTGTTGACAATTTTACTCATGGCAGTTACATTTTTTATAACCGCGGTCTTTTAAAGGCCTTCCTGATAACTTTAACTCAAATTTTTAAATATTTCTTTCGTGGATAAAAACAAGAGGTAACTTTTTTTTCTCATTTTTAGCATTCCTAAAATCATTAATAAATCTTAAAACTGAGAGAATATGACAAGTTTTGAAAAAAGTCCATAAAAATTTGACAGGCTAGGTTAAGAAGAAAACGAAACAACGAGTGTTGCGTAATGTTTTTAAAGTAGCCGTGACACTTGCAATGAAAAGTTTAATGTTCAATACTGCTCGTGCTTTCGATCTGTAAACACAGCAACTTAAATGTGAATCATACAAGTCTTCGAAAAATTTAACTTTTATTCGAATTCTACTGTGATAATTTTACATCGTCGTAAAAATATATTGCTATTTCATATGATAGAGAAGAAAATATTTTTCTAATATTTTGTATCACCTCATCATGCGCACAATTGAGTATGGGACAACGACTCACGTCCCGGCATTTTTGACTAAACTTTGGAAATTAGTCACTGATGAGTCTTGTGATGAACTAATATGTTGGAGCCTAGTAAGTTATTATTATTTTATTTGCATGCATTTCATATCATAAAGATTTTGTTGTGTTATTAGGATATGATTGGCCAGTAAAGTAACAAACTTAGTGATGCTACTTTTAACTAACAATAAATTTATGTTGGAGTTTTATAAGTTATTGTTTTATTTGCATGCAAATGATATTGTGAAGATTTTGTTATATTATATAGATTTCGTTATGTTATTAAGATATGATTGGCCAGTAAAGTAGCAAACTTAGTGATGCTATTTTTAACTAACAATAAATTTATGTTGGAGTTTTATAAGTTATTGTTTTATTTGCATGCAAATGATATTGTAAAGATTTTGTTATGTTATAAAGATTTCGTTATGTTATTAAGATATGATTGGCAAATAAAGTAAGCCTAGTGATGCTATTTTTAACTAACAATAAATTTATGTTGGAGCTTTATAAGTTATTGTTTTATGATATGACTGGCCAGTAAAACAGATAAACTTAGTTATGCTTTTTTCAACAAACAATAAATTTAGTTTTTATAAATTGATTCCCTTTTATTGATTTATATTGCTAAATATTCGAGAAAATTTCTAATATTTGAAAAATGCAGTGTGTTTACAAAAAGTAGCAATCATAGATACATCTTTATACATTTAGACTTAAAGATTTGGCAGCTTCAAAGAGCAGGGCACATAGATTGGAGGTCTCTTGTACCCAAACCCTAAATCATGATTAGCGTAAAAGCTTCATAGCTGAAACAAAGTTCAGGAAACACCTGACAGGAATATCTTATCTTTATACATTTACTCTCCTTTAATTCTTTCTGAAGAAAAATTAATATATCTTGACTCAATAAATCAGTTTTCGCGATGTGTGTAATTGTTAATGTCATGGATAATTTGTCGCTGATCAAATTAGTCAGTAATGAGTCCTATGATGAACTAATATGTTGGAGTCTTATAAGTTGTTTTATTTGTGTGCAAATTATATTGTAAAGGTTTAGTAGTAGTATTAAGCTATGATTGATCAGTAAAGCAATGGGTTAATTTAGCCTTACTTCATTTTAACTAACAATATATTTAATTTTTACGCATTGTTTCCTTTCTTTTTTTTTATAAATTTGTTTCAAGTGCCTTTTGTTAAGTAACTTTTTTGTGCAGATTTAGGATAATTTCATGCATTTACTTCTTTAATTCTTCCTAAAGAAAATTAATATCTGTCTTTATAATGCTATAACCTAGTGGGTTAAAAGTAAGAGTTTATAATATAATAGAATTTCTTCTAGTTTATTTTATTTTTCAATTTTTGGGTTGTATTGTGTTTTAATAATATAATGCATGTATATTTGGAAAGAAAACAAAGTTACTAGTGATAAGAGTGTCAATATAATTTTAAAAGTTTAAATATTGTAAAGTTTCTAACATTGTAATTATATATTCATCTGAAAAATATTCAAACAAAATATCCATCTGAAACTAATAAAGTATATAATAGTTTTTCTATAACACCTTGAAAATAATACTAACTTTTAAAGAATAAAATCAATTTTTTTAACAAATATTGAAATTTTTCATTTTTTTAATAAATAATATTAAAACATTTATTCAGTCAGGAGACAATGTAGTGCTGTTGTGACTAGTGTTGGACACTAGTTTTAAACACGATAAGAAAGTTTCTAACAAAAAATTTATTGTTAAATATTTAAAGAAATATTCTGAATGTGATAGCAGAATACTTAAATATTATTGAGCATTTACATTCAAAAATATATTATAGGAGTTGCATTGTGTATTAGCAGGGGTCTGTTTAGAAGAAATTTGGGTCCGTTAACGGACCCTTCACAAAATATCTTTTCATAAAAACGGACCCTTCACAAAATATTTTAACTTAAAAACGGACCCTTCACAAAATATTNGACAATGTAGTGCTGTTGTGACTAGTGTTTTACTAGTTTTAAACATGATAATAAAGTTTCTGACAAAAATTTTATTGTTAAGTATTTAAAGAAATATTCGGAATGTGATAGCAGAATACTTAAATATTATTGAGCATTTACATACAAAAATATATTATAGGAGTTGCATTGTGTATTAGTCATATAATTAGGGTGTATTAGTCTTATAATTTTAAAAGCCTCCATACTATGTATGGGTAGAAATTAAGAAAATTTAGACATTGGTTTGAAGTATCAACAACTAAGAGATACTAATTGTTCATAGACATTTTTACTGGTCCATTTACATATCTCTTTTTTTTAAAAAAAAAAAGAAAGGTAGTAAGGTATTTAAGAAATTATAGTACAGAGAATGTGCTATGCCATAATTATGATAAATTAAGTTCTTTATTTAAAAAAACATGGAAACATGAAATCAAAAATCGCAGAATACCTTCCTTGTGGTCCACAATTGTTGATCCAAGGGACAACTTATACAGTGATCAGAGACCAGAGTCACAATTTAACAGTGGTCGGAGTCAAATTTTAATGGTTTTGAACCAAAGAACCTCTGTTAATTTCGAGCCCTACTATTTATCCAGCTTAACAAAAATATGTGACATTGTAATATGAACATCTTTATCATATGGAAAGAATAATCGAACAAAAATACATTAAGAAAATTAGTGGTAGTTTTTTAAGTTCAGATATTGGAAGGTGTTTCTTTCTTTCATATACTTTTTTTAAATAATCAGTTATAACTTTCTATGTTATGTTAAGTTATAAAAATAGCATGAAATCTTTTTCAACTTTATTTGTTGTTCTCAAACTTTTTTTTTTTTTTAATATTGTACGAACCTTGACCTTTCTATTCATCCTTTTTCAACTACGATTATTTTTCTGGAATTTGAAGTTAAAACCTTTAATTTTTTATTTAAATTGTTTTTGATTTATTGTGTATTAAAAAAGTTACCTACGTATAGAGTTTTCCTATGATAATTATAGAGAAAAGTTTCACGCATGAAATTTAAAACTTTCAGTTTCAGTATTATTTAACTTGGTAATTGGAAATAAAATCGATTGTTTATTCTGATTTAATTGATAGATGTTTTTGTTTAAGACAGAAATTGTTTGTGTTAACTTCAATTAGTCTATTTTATGCTAAAAGGAAGTCGTTTTATCTCAAAGTTGCCTAAAGGAATGTTCAATTAAAAAAAAAAAGAGCACCTTAGTGAGACAAATTTAATGGTTCCTATTTGTGGAACAGATATTTTTGACATGGTGTATAGTGTTCCATTAAATTATAACCTCACTATGCTTTTAGCTCAATTGATTAATTAAATGCTTGAAATTAGTATTAAAAACTGAAAGTGATGAGAATTCACTGCTGTTATTTATCTTATATTTGTATCTGTAAATGAAGCCATAAATAATTAGAATATGAAAATGCATAAAATGGGTGGCCAGAAAAATATAGCATCTCACATATTTTTTTTATTTATAAAACTGAAGTTTTTATAAGTAATTTAGGTTTAACTGAGAGCATTTACTTAAGAGAGAAAAAACAAGCAATCTTCAATATTTTAAGTCGTTAGATAATAATTCATTAATAATCACAAGTCTGCAACCAAAAAATGATTAGAAACCAGTAGATTATGGTAGATTTTTGGATGTTAATTTCAGAAAGAAAGTGAAAAATTCTCACGATTTTTGGTAAAAACAATATCTTATTGATTCTTGATTCATTAAAATTGTGAGTCGATTTTTTTACTGATTCACAGAAACAGAACCTTTCAAGAAACGAGTGAACAGACCACGGTTTTTCTTTCGACTTTTTTTCAAAATCACTCACAGAATTATGAGTGGAAATTTCAGTTTTTTCACTAAAACAGGACCTTTCAAGAAAATCTAGAATAATCCCTGTTTACACAATTAATGCACTTTCAAATAGAAGGGGAGCTTTTTTTTTACTATTCCATCCTATTGCGTTCGAAAATGATAGCAAATAATTGGTGAATTGTTCGTTTCTGTTGATTACTAATTAAAAGGTTTAATTAATGTAGCTTTATTTAATTCTCTTGTACAATCGTACTCCGTTTAATTTTTTTTTTCTTTATTTTTCAAAGGTGTGTAATCTAAAAAGCGATACTTGAGTGGCATGTGTTGGAATAATTTCCTTCTATGTCAACTAATACCCTTTACTTTGAACCCGCATGGGGGGATTCATTATTTCAACCCTGCATGCTGTCCGTCCACATTCTCAATTTACGCAACTCTTCTCAGTTGTGAAAAACAAAAATTTCGAAAGAACCCTTTTTTCTTTTTTTACGTGTGAAAAGAATTTTTTTTTTCAAATCGCAAGACATCGACCCTTTTGGGTACCTGCGGCTTTGAAATAACTTCATAATTTATTTATTTTTATTAAAGTCTTGAGCAATATGAATCGTCAAGGTTATTTGAATCGGCAATGTTATTTATCAGCTCATATAGCTTATTCGAATCATAGATTCGAATAAGCTACGTCAGTTAATTTACTTATATACATTTTGATTTGAAATTTGAATCTGCAATTGGGTTTGATTAAATTCTGTGATTTAAATCGCAAATCAAGGTTATTTGAATTGCAAGGTCAAGAAAGGTTATCGAATCGTCAAGGTTATTTGAACTAAAAGTATCAGTTCACATAGCTTATTTGAATCACAGATTCAAATAAGCTACGTGAGTAATTTACATATTTGCAAATCAAAATATAATTAAAGAACGAATTGAATTTCGTTCAAACTTTCAAACACGGATTAAAATTTAATTCAAACACAAGTTCAAAAACTAATTTAATCACAATTCGAATGACAACTTAAACTAATTGAAGTTAATAGATTCTAATCGATTCAGTGAATTTTGAATCGAATGCGAGGAAATGAATTAATTAATAGCTTTCTGGTTCTGTCAACTTTCTTTTCTAAATAAACATCTTGAAAGTCTAATGTATTTAGATAATGTATATTTAAACTTAATTGTTATAAAAATAAATGAACGGAGTGGGTATAAGTGACATTTTGATAAATATGATTGAATTAGATTT